TTGATAGCTCATCTCAATTGATTGGCCTCTTACAATTGGTATGCGTACTTCCACCTTTTCATGTTCTCTGTAGGTATAAATATCTTCTGTCTGTGTGTTCCACTCTATGCATCTGAAGAAGTGAGCTGCAGCGCACGAAAGCTTATGCTGAAATAAATTGGATAGTCTCTAAGGCCTGGTCCACACTAAGCCCCCAGTTGGAACTAAAATACGCAACTTCAGCTACGGGAATAACGTAGCTGAAGTCGAAGTATCTTAGTTCGAACTTAAAAGTACTTACCACGGGTCCACACACAGCAGGCAGGCTCTGCCTACTCCTCTCGCAGAGCAGGATTACCGGCGTCGACGGCGAGCACTTCCGGGATCGATTTATCACGTCTAGACAAGATGCGATAAATCGATCCCAGAAGATCGATTGCTGGCCGCCGAACCAGCGGGTAAGTATAGACGTACCCTAAGGTGCCACAAGTACTCCTGTTCTTTTTGCAGATACAGACTAACACGGCTGCTACTTTGTAAGACTGTAGTCGTTATTCTAGACTGATCACATGCTACTTCGGTTAGAATATTGGAGGGTAAAGTATCCACAGATTGTTCAATAATCCCTTCTGAGTTCAAAGCACATCCCTGGTGCACAGATGTAAGGATTACATTACAACTCCACACCCATTGGCTAGTTAACTCACTGTTCTATAATAAAAGGATTTTAGTCAATCATCAGACACACAAATCAAACATTATCCCCTCAATCCAACAATGAAATTCTTTCCTTATTGACACTATGTAAATATCACAGTGCTGCTTTACAGGAGACCTGCAAAGGCAAAAATTGGTTTGTGCCTTTTGGTGCTTTATAATGACAAAAGGTCAGTAAAGTGTGGGATTAACAAGCTATAGATTGTCCTGTTGGTGATTTAGCTAAGAAATATCAGGAATGTAGAGGCTTGTCAACCCTTGTCCTGTTGGTGGACTCTAGAGAGGCCCCAGCTATGGACTAGGAGCTTTCTCAGCCCTTACTTGAGGGATTGGGGCATCCTGAATTTTAAATAAACAAACAGATTTTTTTTTCCAACTGTTTATAAGCTGTGGAAGAAACAGGTGTTATCCAACACAAGTAGAAATTTCAAACCGTCCAAATAAAAATTCCCTCCGCACCCCCTCAAGCAGGACTTCTGGGGTATCTGTGGAGCCATAACTCTTGTTGTCTGTAGTGTCTTGTAAGAAAAATAGAGCAGAGAAGACCTGAATGTGGGATGAGGTCAAGCTGGATAATTTCTCTTTAAAAAGTGTTTCAAGCCCCCTTTATCCTTCATAAAGAAGCAAAAAGGGTCTCACACCCATTTTCCCCCTTTGCGAGTCACCTTTAACACACTGGCCATGCCCCAGGGCAATTCTCACCTTGCCCCGCCTCCCAAGCAATAGCCCCTAGACAGTCTGCGAAAGCAGGAGCAGCACTAATTCTCCCCAGCTTCTCCCGGCCTGCTGAGTCTGCACTTGAGGTTTCTAGAGGATGGCTCTTTTCGGTTGTCGAACAAGGACCACGTCTGCAACGCGGGAGGCACAACTTTCATTTGGCATCTCATCCTCTAGCAAACCCGTTTGTTGTCCTACGCACGACTCCACCAGGAGGGGTGTTCCCTAATGAAGTCTGACTTTGGGATCACTGGAAGACAAGCCCCTTTCACTCTCTCTGTAGATAAGGCACAAGGACTTTCAGTTCCTTGAAAGAATCATCAGTTTTCTTATAGGCAGTAGGACAGGGGTTCTCAAATTGGGGGTCAGGACCCCTCAGGGGGTTGTGAGGTTATTACTTGGGGGGTCGCGAGCTGTCAGCCTCCATCCCAAACCCTGATTTGCCTCCAGCATTTATAATGGTGTTAAATATACTAAAAAGCAACAGAAGGTCCTGTGGCATCTTTAA